AGCTGAGAGGGCCGCTCAGTCTTCGGCCGTCGCATTTCTAGAAGCGCAGCGCTTCAAGGCTCTGATGATCAAAGGAATCTGAGAGCTCTTTCTGTTCCTGGAGCTGAAAGAGTGTCAGGTCTCAGGAGCCACTGAGCTGACGACAACTCTGCGTTGAGCTTTTCAAGTTTTACGTTTGATGAGCTTTTAATAGGAGGCTTTAAAATAGAACACAGTGCGTCGTCACAACAACGATAAACAGCTGTCATTTAAACCGGCACGTTACCGAGTCTGATCACCTGACTGAACCTTCGGCTCTGAGAACTCAGTAAAAGCTTTCTGTTCGCTCTTCCTGTAAGTGCTGGTGCTGCTTTCGCTCCAGAGATTCTTACCTGCTCCATTATTTTGTCCGTTTATGTACCATCTCACCTCAGAGAGCCTATCAGAATTCATGCGCACAATATTAAGAAGCTTTTACTCAGTTAATATACGCACATCAAGAGAGAAGGTTCAGGATTTCTGTGTGTTTTTTCAAGTTGACTTTAGACCTTTTCTGTTTATGAGCTCATTTTTACTCTCTCCCGGTTCTTTTCTTCTTCCCCAGGTTTAAAGGGTGACGATATCCTGCCTTAACTTCCCATAATTGGTCCAAAAGGCCAAACCATCCAAAAAAGTGTTTTCACACTGCAGATGAACCAAAGCATAGTTCAGCTTGATCCAGACTGAAACCACCAAGAAGCTGGAGAATAAGAAGCCGACTCCAGAGCTGACGGGCATGAAAACGGATGAGGAGGCTGCTCTGTTTCTGCTGGTGGGCAACATTAACTTATTTTTGCTGTTTCACAGAACCGACAGGTCAGTATTGTTGTGTCCCGTTTGCTAATGTTTGTGTTTAGCCCTGCAGCAGTAATTGTAGCGCCAGTTTGCTAACCCACAGCCGCGCTAACGTTAGCTACATTACTTCCTGTGTGGTTGTTCGGTCTAATGTTGTGTCAGGGTATCTGTCTGTACAACATTTGTAAGGGGTTTATGGCCACCGAGGCTTGCGCAGGGTTGTTCACCTCGGCAATGCACCTCAATGATTTTGGGGGGGCTTCTGAAGGAGCGCTGGAGGGGCGTATTGCTATTAAGTTCAAATATCAACAGTCATTCTCCAGAACTGTAGCCAATGACCACACAATTTTATAAGGCATCATCATTAGATTATGAAAGTATGTTCAATATCAAACAGTTTCTGTATTTATCATGTTTATCTATAAAATGACCAAAATCTGATCAGAGAAAAGTAAGTCCAGGCTGTGAGTGGGCGGGGCTAAACTGCTGTACGCTGAATAGGCAGAAATGTGTAA